ACCAAATTCCCTGAGTGAGTGGGTTTTGACCAATTGAGTGGGTGTGTAACCCACTCACTCGGGGAATTCGTCTCTCAAAAACCTGTGGGTTATGTGATTGAAATGCACCATGTGGGATGACTAGTCCAGGGTAGCCACCCTATGGCCAAATACGTAATATTAACAACAACAATAATTGACCGAATATAATAGTTGCGTCTTAGCTATTGTGTTTTCCTATTGAAAACTGAGTTTTCTGACTGCTCTGGACGAAATATATCTGGTTACTTGTATGTGTACAGTACTCGCACCGTACAGTGTGTGAAAGAAGCGTTTCGAAACAAACACATGGCAGGTCAGTGGACATTTCTACTTGGTTTAAGTAAAGCATTTGAGTGGGAGTGCCGTTCCTCCTACACGACCAAATGACTTGAAATTTGTATTGCAAACGACACCACGACTGCGTCACTTCCACAACCTCGTCGCCGTTTGTTGAAACGTTGTCTACTAACCCTTTTCCTTCACACATGATAACATCGACACTTTGGTCGTGATTTCTGAAAACACATCATTAAATTCGGCGATTTCTGATCCAAAATGTCCAAGGGCATTTGAAAAGTGTAAATATACATAGCAATCTGGGCCATTTGTCGAGCGATCACCATCAGGCAAATCAGATTTCATTTTAAAAACGACGTCATTTGAAATTTCACCATAGTTAAAAGCAAAAGACACTTTTTGACCCTTACAAACGCAAGCTTAAAAAGCTACTTTAATGAGAAGAGTAGTTTAGATAGTTTAGATGCTCGCATATACCGTGAGTTGTAAAAATGACGTGAAAAGAATGAACCCACCGGCACTTTATATTACCACAAAAAGTTTATCATTCTGGTGATTGCTATGCGGACGACAACGGATTTTAAGGGACACCGAAGTTTTGACAACATTTGAGTAATACTTTAAGTATTAATTTTACGACAATTCAATGATTGGCTACAAAATTGATTCGAGTGAAAACATTGTAAATGTCGGGTTGATGATTTATATTCGACGGGTCATTTCACATTAGCCAAATGCCGCTTGATGGCCGCGATGGCTTCGACTTACACGGTGGTGGGTTCCCTGGCTTTTTTTACAAAAGAGGTGTGAGGACAAGAAAGTTTTGGCCTTGGGAAGGGTCTACAGACGGCTGGTCGCTGGTGACGACCAGTCAAACAGTTGTCTCGTCGTTGTGCATTTCGACTCGAGTTGTAGCTAGCTTCGCTGCTGGACAGCCTGGGAGCGGAGAAAGCTACAACTCGAGTCAAGAGGAATGTTTTGCCGAATATGCTTCGCCGAGTCTCAGGGCAATGGAATGCTACCAAGAAGCAACCGAAGCGGAGCGTGACTGATTTAGGCCTTGTTGCAGAAGCGACTTTGCTGACAGTCGCTTCTGCAACAACGCCTGAACAGAGTCAGATCAATTGTCTAGCCATGGTGCAATGTTACATCAAAGCGTGGGCTCTCATCGTCACATTCTATGTATTTTTGTACGAAGTATGTGTTCTGCGTATTTGTACCTCGGGAGTTTTTTCAAATACGAAGTAAGTTAGTAGTTTTGGAAAATTGTAAAATTCAATTTCTAATAAAAAGTGACATTTCGTATTTCGTAGTGCTCAGCCAATCATGTTTCGACTTCATGCCAATTTCGATTATCACGTGTCTGTACGTGCCTCAGTTGTCCACACACAAACAAATTATTTTGAAAGCGCTTGTACAGAAGATACAATGCATTTATGTGGTTTATCTGACAAGACAATGTCGTACTCATTCATATTCATTCACCAGTCCGGCTTAGCAAGCAGCGTTGGGCAAGAACGGTTCGATACAGTCACGGTTTCCGAGCAATGTGTTATTGTGCTTTCACCTGTTTTTCTCCTTGTTTTACAGTCTTAGCACGTTAATCAATGCTTCTCTAAAAGTATAATTATGCAAAACCAACGTTAATCAACGTCAAGCCAGATACTACACATTATTGGTCAAATGTGTAACAACATAAAATACCAATTTGTGGCGTGCCCATTTGATTTTGACAAATGGGCACGCCGTCCTGCTTCATCATTTTCGAATTCTTAAAAGTCCTAAAGGTGGAGAATTCCCTGGTGAACACTCCATGATTAGGGTCGACCTTTCCAATTCTGGGTATCATAGGATATTGTGACGAAACTATATATTATGATGACCACAATATGAAAATAACATGTCAGCATAGCCTGACGGTAAAGCTTGGAGCTTTCATGCACGAGGTTGCGGGTTCAAATGCCGGCTATGACTTCATTTTTACTTTGAAGTACTTTTATCATTTACGAGTTTGCTGTATAGCATTGAAGGTTGAGTTTGTCCTACAATTCTACCGGTATCACCACCAGTTGATGAAAACTGTATTCAAATCGGAGGCACAAACTTTAATTCACACTGGTAGTGGTGATAAATGGACGAACTCGCTGTGTTTGGGGTCGTCCTGGTGGCTGCATGCATGGTCAACCTTCGTCCAGATCATCTTTTATCCCTATTGACTAACTGTAAATACCCTAAAAGTTTGAATTGCTCTATTTTATGGTATGGTGCACCACATCTAAAAACTTCCAACTGGCCAAATTGAAGAGTGGAGGTTTTATTATTTAACGTGCAATTAATGTAGTTAAACCCAAAATACAGATACGTTAAATACCGATTTCATACGTTTTATCACTGGAGTGGGAGGTTAAAGGTCCCCCTTGCCTCCGGATATTAAATACGGATAAGAGTCACATACAAAAATCAAGATACATTTGAGCGGCCACCCCTATGGCCAAATATCCAAGCGCCCATGTAAAATACCACTAGGTTAAATATCTATTTCTGGACCAATTCATCACCAAATTTGAATCTGAGACGTAGAATCTTCACCACATTGAGATCTGTCGATTATACGCCTCAATTTGCTGCAATTTTGATTAATGAATATGAAATAGAAGTTAGAAAATTTTGTGAAAAGTTGGTAGTTTATAGATGACGTGCACCATATCGTTTCCGTACACATGGTGAATCTATCCAAGATATTGTGTATGATACCCATAATTGTGAATCTATCCAAGATATTGTGCTAACTGTAAATCCGTAATTGACACGATAAACAACGTGATTTTTTAATTAATCCTACACGTTAAACGAGGGGGGTTTCGTGCTGACGAGGTGGAAATTCAAGCCACGTGCAAAAGTCATATTTTCCACGTGCGAATAATTGTTTTCGTGCCCCCTTGAACAGTGTCCATAGGTGATCCCAACTTGGCACACCGTATGTAGCATGTCTCCATGTAGGCTACATCTCGAACATTTGTCGTCTCCATATTTTTTTATGGTTCCTGCTAATTCTTGTCCTCCACTTTCGTGGGTGACTCTAACGTGACATGCCTGTCTCCATGCAGACCGCGTCTCCAACGCAATGCTGTCCCTCCTGTATCCAAAAGTAAGCATGTTTTATCTGGCTCTTGCTCGAAATAAGAAAGTACCAGTGTTGAGCGGCTGATTTTATTTGAAGAATACACACGCAGTTTTTGGACGAATTGCAATATAATTATATGACCTTATAGCCAAGATCCTACTCTTTTGGTTGGTACAAATTTCACACAAATCCAATGATTGGTCATAATACCACAATGTGGCAAACATCAAACGTGTCAGTGATTTGGGACGGAGTGGTATGCCACAAGTACAGTACTGTTTACAATTCTGTACCGTCTAGTTTAATTCGAGTCGTACGACCATATTGTGGATTTTTATTTTTTATGTGTCTATCTGTTTATTATGGAATTCGCAAGGCAGGCCACTTTGCGAATTCAAAATTGTCCAATTTGTCCAATCAGATGCCGTGAAATCACGAAAATCGCTGCGTAGATATATATTCTACACCTGTGATGGCGGTTGATGCAAGGAGCATTGAGATAACTATGTAGGCTGTGTATGATCATGTAGATTGGATGCGTCGTGCTCGTTCTTCATCCTGGCATGTGATGGGGTGTGGGACGATCTCGAAGATCTTGGCCTTGTCAGAGTCGGACCGAGCGCAGGCGGCCGAAGTCCTCGTCGGCGCCGCCCTTGAAGAAGGAAGCTGTGGCAACATTTCGGCCATCGTGGTCGTTTCAGCGATGTGGTATTCAGGACTCGGTCAATTTGAACAGGTATAGACTTCAGTAACATCACCACTTGTCTACTAACCCAATGAATGTGGTCATCCCTCATTCCACCATCCAGTCCGTGTCGGTGCCGTACATCTATCTCCCTGCTGGTGTGATCACGTGGTTGCGCGGGCAGGTGGAGCAAGATGTCTTGGTGGCACCCATCGCAAGTGCTAAAGCCGCCACTTCAGCACTTGCGATGGGTGCTACCAAGGCGTCTTGCGCCACCGCGTTGGCCCACCAGAGCCGCCACGGCATTGCGACCCAACCGAGCGCACAACATAATGTTTGCTGTAAGGGGAGAACCACATTGGATATAGTCGGAGTGAACTCATCAGTAACGTTACACAATTCTCAGGAGCAGCATCACACAAAACTCTCTACAAAATTCAAGTGTCCAAAGAGTAACTTCTGCTTCCTGTCTTATAGCCAATCGTGTGCAAGAAAAAAGGTGTGATGAGCTCTAATTGGATATTAAAAAGTAGCAAGGTGGCTCACCTTGCGAATTCCATCAAGTCAACTAATTCGACGAGAATGCCCAGATAATGTTCTTTCACCTCCACTAATTTACAGGCCAATCGGAGGTGAGGAAGTTCAGTTTTTCATCATCCTTGGACAGACGGGCACCTGTAGTGGAACAATAGTATAAGTTAATGTACATTGGTACAGGGCTGTACTATTAATACTACAGTAGTAACTATCAGTTTCTCCGCACACAACACATCATTTTGAAGGCGCTTGTACAGAAGATACAATGTATTTCTGTCGATTAACGCACATGACAACGTCATACTGCAACATACATGCATATGTCACCACTCCAACTTAGCAAGCAGCCTTGGGCAAGAACGGTTCGATAAAGTCACGGAGTTCTGAGATACGGGCGTACACTCCGGGGAAGCCAGGGCGGGCACAGCCGATGCCCCAGCTGGTCACACCGGCCAAGTACTCTTCCCCGTTGCGCGTGACCGTCAACGGTCCACCCGAGTCGCCTTTGCACGTGTCCTTGAAGCCCCCACCGGCGCAGATCATGGAAGACGTGACGTTGTAGTTTTTGTACTTGTTGAGCGCGGCGTGGCACTTGGAGTTTTCCCAGATAACCACGTCGGTTTCCAAGAGCACGGGGGATGCAGGCCCGCCTAAATAGATACTACCAAACCCACGCACCCAAGACACAGCGCCCGGGGCAGTGAACTGGTCTTCGTCCCAGTTGAGCTTGACGGGGGGGAACTTGGACTCGGTTTCCAATTCGAACACGGCAACATCGTAGTCGTAGCGAGTGGCCTTGTTGTACTTGGGGTGCAAGGTGCGCTTGACGATCTTGATGCGCTCGCCGTCCTTGGTGCCGTTCAAGTAGTGCGACCCGATGGACGCGTAGGCGGCCCAGGGAGTCGGCACGCAATGAGCCGCCGTGACCAGGATTTTGGGGGCCACCAACGACGCACCGCACAACGAAGCAGCGGTTTCGTTGCGGCGAAGTCCCGTCACGTACGTGTACTTGCCGATGGGGGCTTCGGTACCGTTGACGATTTCAATATCGGCGGCCGCGAAGGCGGCAACAGCAGAAAGGGCGAGGAACTTGACCATGGCAAAGTGAATTGGAAAATGAGGTCAAGTTGGAAACGCAGAACCATAATTCATTTTGTTCATGAGTTTTTCCATGTGGAATATGTGCGTCCCCATCTCTATACTGAGTCACTAGTGATATGAAGTGATAGATTTCAAGCTATCACTTCATATCACTAGTGACTCAGTATGGATAATAATGGTGCGCCATTATTATCCAGCGTCAAATCTATCACTTCGGACGTGTCGAAGGATATGCGATATACTTCGAAGTATACAGAATAACTCCCTCATTTCGAGAGTGCTACTCTCGTTTTCACCCGAAATACTAGTACTCCAGTATTTGACTGTGAATTCAACCATCCGGATACAGGATACCCTTTTTAGCCCGTAATAGGTACTAGCCCTGTAATCTGCGACTTCGTCCTACCACCGATGAGTACATAAGACACTAAGTCTCCGGGGTTAACTGCATCACCAGTGGTTAGCGATAGCAAACCACTGATATGCACTTAACCCCTAGAAAGAGGTGAGTATACCAAGTCCCATCCATATAAACACGCATATTGAGGTGTTTTCTGAGAAAATGTGAGGTACTACTGTTTATGATGGAATTGAACATATATCTATCTACATGTAGACTGTATACAAGGTACAGTACAGTTTTGCTTGAAACGCACTAACGTTAGCACTGTACCCAACTCCTATCATCGTACTTCCAACGGTTTGTAAATTGATTGACAGTCTGTATACTACGTACTACGTAGTATACAATATATAATTGGGCGTGGAATATCTAGATCTCGTCGATCCTTCATGGTTGCCTATTTCATGAGCGGACATAAATTTCCTTTTAGGTTACTAGTATGAGCTTAGGCTCAATTCCAGCCTACTTTACCTGATTACTAGTGAGCCCGTTGCTCTGCCGCCGGTGTTAATTCTGCTTATTATTGTTGCCATAGTTGAGCGTGGCATATTTTTCAGACATTTTCTGTTTGTAGTATGCGTTTTCAAAACTCTTCTATCTGCGGTACAACGGGGTCCGGTAATGGGAATCAGTCCTTTTGCGGTGTAGTCCACTGAAATAGTACAGGCTGCGGTAGAAACCTTGCAGCTATGCTAAGACTAAGCCGTGCATCTAAACTCACTAACACTGTGATCTTTGAACGCGTGGCGTGTTGACTTGAAAGCAGTTAGCTCCACCTCTCAGGAACATCCAATAGCGCCGCCGTTTGACACGCAACGTGTAAGTATGTCAGAATACATGTCGGTGCCACCTTGTGGGTATGTTTATTGTGCTTTTCATTTGTTTTGGCGTCGGTTTTACGTGGCTAAAAGAGTGGTACTTCTGCTGTAACAGTGTTACAAGGTTGAATAAATACCTGGTGTTTTAGCTAATTCACAGGGGTTTTATAAATGCCAAATAACTCTGAGGAATAATATTCACATGTGATGCTGAAGTGACCAAAACACCTTGGCTATTAATTCCATCGCGTAGTCCATGCACGTAGCATGCACTGCGCGATGGAACAAGAAGATGGCGTGGTTTTCTACGATGTGGCAACATACATGTACATCGCTGTGCGGTAGAACACCGGCGCGTATCCTCGCTGTGTGACATTTATAATACCAGTATGAAAAGTCGTTCATGATGACCAGTGAATTGTGCAATTTGGTCCCGAGAATAGCAGATATAACTTCGATTTGCACTTTTCAAATGTGCAAAAGCGAGGGAGTTGCATAAATGACCCCCCTATAATTACATTCGGTAACGAAACGTGATGCTAAATCACGGTACGGATTATCTAAAACACTGGGGTCGATGTAACAAACACCCAGGTTTATGGTGTGAATAGCCAAAACGAGTGAAAAGCACAATAATCGCATCGCTATTTATCTCGTGACATGTTTATCAGAACACAGTCAAAGGAAAAAAATCACTTATCGTTTCACACCAAGTTCACTACAATTCCACCTGGCTATTTGGACCGAAGTCGGCCTTTAACCTCCCACTGTAGTGATAAAACGCATGAAATCGGTATTTAACGTATTTGGTTTTTGGGTTTAACTACCTACGTTAAATAATAAAACCTCCACTCTTCGATAAGAGTCACATACTAAAATCAAGATACATCTCAGCGGCAGCACTTGACACGATTTCCACACATATAAGTATATGTATATATATATTCATATTTCTTGAGAAATGGAGTGTCCAACTCATCCTTCGAGAGGGTTGGCAACTAAATCTTTAAGTAATTGATTGAATTATAACAGTTGAACCAGTTTGTTTCGATGGCATTTCCACTTCAGCATATGGTTCAAAACTGGATTTTTTCAATGTGATTGAATCCAGTGGTTCGTTTTATATCCCCGCGCCATTGAACTGTGCGTTCAAGTGATATGCACGAGCTGATTACCTGTATAAACCCAATGAACGCTGGAACATCAAGCCCTCCAAAAAACAAGCACTGTCGAGTTTCCTTGCTCGTGTTTGATGACGAATTTCGCTACGTTCCGACAAGTGTTGGGACGACATCAGAATTGTTGTATGAATCGCAAACAACAACCTTAACCGGTAGACAACATTTTTGTATTATATCCTTATCACGACGTAATCAAAACGACCCAAGGTTAATCCATCGTCACTGAAGTGATCCAACATAATACTGTACGAATTTGATTGAACACGACACAAGGCACGAGCCCGAAACTCGGAGCAAACGACGTCGAGATTTCATGACTCTTGTCTGATGGACGTGTTCAGTTAAGCCATGTACACTATGTACATACAGTTCTTGGTGAACATTGCAGTATTTTGGAAGCCAGTAATGTATGCATTCACCCACTACCAGGTTGAAGGGCGGCGAAACAGTAAATCTTTGTATGTATGGACAAGGAGGGGTTTCGAAATACTTGCATGATCAGGGATCAGTTCCTTTTTTGAAATCGACAATCATGGCTGGTCTAGCAGTATTTAAATACACTCGATGCACGAAAACATGTATAAAAAACGCAAACCAATGTTAAGGACGACGAGTCCACAACGAATCCAGCTACGTTCCGTTGCACAGGAATGGCTCGATGAACGACCGACCAGCCGAGATGCGATTGAATATCTGCAACGTAGGCGAGTCCACGCAGTTGTACAGCGCCAACGTGCCGAGAGCGAAGTCGCTTCCGTCGATCTCGATCATAAGGGATCCAAAAATGTACCAAACGCACATCTCAATGTTGTCGTTGTTGCTGCATCCTTGGTAGGCGTATATGGGGCGATTGAGTTTGGCTTGGCACTGGTCGTTCGCAAGAAGTTGAACCGTGGTTTCCGAGAGGGTGTTCCCGTTGTTGAAGGGGAACCAGGACCAGCCGCGCAGCCGCACGAGTTTGCCAGGGTCGACATCATCCCACAGGATGCGCACTGGTGGGACCTTAGAGGGTTGAGCCAAACGCACCATTGCGAAGTCCAGGGAACGGTTGGCACTGTAGTATTTGTTGAGCACAGGGGTCCACTCGCCGTTGTCTAACCGGCCATCGATTCGAGTTGCCCCAACCACAACTTTGTCTGCTTTGTCGTAGTCTTCAACGCATGATCGAGTAAAGAGGGCGAAGTCAGGGGCGACGAGAACGCCTTGGCAAATCCTGGTTCCTGTCGCTGACGAGCGCAGTTGAGCCAAATACGTGGACTTCTTGGCGTTCTGGAAGCCTGCAAAGTATGCATTCACCACAACCTGCACATGGCGGCGGCAAACCAAAACAGCCTTTGCATCACACGTCGAGTTGGAAAATGTGGTTCTCATTGAAGGGCTGCAGTTATTTGCAGTATAATCTGTGATATATATTGAATGTATGGACAAGGTGAGATGCAAAAAATACTGGTACGTTTGTCTCGTACGAGACTTGGATTAACGTTACGAAAGTTGCGAAACATTGTGTCAAATCCGTTACATCCTACCGGAATACAAGAAGTACGCATAATGGGCTGCAAATTGCATACTTACAAGAATTATGCAATTTGCAGCCCATTATATGTCTTGATAAAGTAAGAAACTGTGAATTACAAAGTCTCACAAAGTCTCTAACTCATCAATTAACAACACATGGCTTGCTAGATATGGTGGAGGTGTGTCATCGACCGGGCGACCTGGTGGTTTCTATGATGCGCGTGATGTGGTTGGCGCGCTTGCTGATGGCCGATCGATTCTCCGCAGATTGCGGTCGTGTTGTACTTTAGGTCTCGACTGTCGCTTGGGTTAACTCGAGTTCTTTTAGGAGGCCGCACAACCATAGAAGTTGCTTGGCGAGTTCGACGAGTGTGGTGTACTCGGATTCGAACGTTCTTAGGGGAAGGGCATCTCTCCTATGCGACGATGCTGCCACTGACGAGCCGGATAAACCGAGTATGGACTCCGTTTGAGGTGACTTTTTGCATCTTGATGGGTCTTTAATCAAGTTCTAGGTCACATATCCCAATAATGCGAAACACGTTGGCGAGCGATGTTCAGTGACATGTGAATGCTTCGACGTGGAAAGTGGTGGTTGTGGATGAGCAGAGCACATGGCTCAATACATGGACGGTTGAATTGATGGTCTCGGCCCACCAGCGGCGGACGACGCCGGATTGGGCAATACAACTATGGCCATCTCAATAGTGGTTGTGTGGGCGTAAATCCATCTTGCCATTGGTCACCCGGGGAGAATCTATCGCGCTTAAATTCCTCGACTATTTAATTCACTATTGAATGTCGCGGTGGTCGCTGTTTGCATATGTAGCCCTTGACATTGACCACTCAACACTACCCTGTCTCGAACTTGCGGTTGTGGGCCTTGGATTTGGGCACCTGGCAGTCCATAAGACTTCTCATCGTCCGATTGTATATGCGTTGCCATAGCCATCGTGGATTCGTCATCACACGACAACCGTGAGGTGAGCTCGACATGAGCTTCGGATATCAGACGACACTCGCGTTCCAGTTGTAGTCTGCGTTGAGTAACACGACGGGCGATTATAACTCGACACATTGTGCTCACAACCTGGCGCGAGGAGTGGAAAGCCTTGAAAGTACTGAAAGGCGATTGATATAGTTTGTGTAGCTAGCCTCATGAATGAATGGGGGGTCTTTGTAGTCTACGACGTCTAGGTATTGGTTTTGCTCTGCATACTTGTCTGATGGGACGACACCCCAACGAATTCAGCTACGTCCCCTTGCTCAGGACTGGAGCGAGAGGTGATGGAACCTCTCGGGCATAAACGTCCATTGCACTTGTACAGCGACACCTTCGTACCAACAAGAAATTCGGTTCCCCGACCTCGATGACGAGGGATCTGAAAATGGACGCCGAAAAGGTTTTGATGTTGTCGGTGAAGGCGCATACTGGGTACTCTAGTCGAACACTGGCGATGGACTTTGGCGTAGCTCGGTAGTTCGAACTAGAGCCGAAGTTTCCATGAGCCAAAGCTCGTCTTCGTTGCAAACGCGAACCAGCCAAATGCGAACCAGACAATGTGTCTGGCTCGACGTCCTCCCACAGTATTTGCAAATCTGTGCACGAGCCAATACAATCATTGCAAACTCCAGGGTACTGTTGACACTAATATTTTTTAGCACTGGGATCCATTGACGGTCAGCCAGTTCAGCAATTAACAATATATGTCCTAACCACAACTTTGTTTGCTTGGCTCTGGATGCTCGAGTTAGAGGTCGACGAGAGCGCCTTAGCGGAAGAAGAGGACTTGTGCAGCCAAGCTCAGTTGAGCGATTTACAGGGCCGGAACAGTTGAGAACTGAAAGATTGCGCGGTATGCAATCACCACCACCCTGGCCAAGGCGGCTGGCGGCAGTCCAAAATAGCCGTTGCATGACACGTCGAGCTCAGAAATGTGGTTCGGCGCTCAAGGACAGCGTTGATAAACAGTTAATAAACAGTTATTTGTAAACAGTTAATAAACAGTTATTTGTAGTAAAATCAGTGAAATTATATGTATGGACAAGTTGGGGGTATTAATATTCACTTGGACTGTATACTTGACGGGGTTCAACAGGTCAACGCTACATTACAATTAAAGCAATCTGATTGGCTCGTAGATATCTTTAACCAACAGATAATTATAGCCATTTAACTCAGAGAATTCTGATTGGCTCATAGATGTCTTCAACGCGCAGATAACTATCGACACCATAGTAGCTTCAAACTTCGTCGAGTACAATCAATCCACGGCCTTCATTTTTCCATTTGACAGCGTGCGCCATGGTCAACCATCGGGGGCTATTGAGCTCCAACGCCACGAATGGCATTGGAGATGGCAACCAGTACACGTACTTGACTGGATTAAGTGAAACCAAATCGGCGGCTTCCTTCTGCAGCGCAACGCTCATTGCCCCCACATGGCTGCTTACGTTGGCAGAGTGTGTCAATGCGTCTAAGTGGGCCGCTATTGGATCTAACTGTGCGTTGGGTGACGAAGGGACCGAACGTATTGAAGTTGTCCGTCGGGTGTTGCACCCCAACTACACCAGAAGCTCGGGTTATCAGCAATTGGCGATGTTGGAGCTGACAACCGCCAGCAAGTATGTCCCAGCAAGCGTCTCATGGAACGACAACTTACCGGATAACCCGACGTTGTGGGTGCGCGGGTTTGACTCTTCTACAGACGACAAGGCACTCGTGGAAAGCACAGCGAAACTGTGGAGCTACGACGAGTGTGGCAAGTTCTATTATGACCACCAAGAATACGGACGAACACTCAACGAATCCATGCAGTGTCTTCGTGACAGTCAATGCCAGCAAGAACGAGGCAGTGCGGTCATGGTGGATGTCAACGGTACAAGCCAGTTGATTGGCCTTACGTACTGGCAAAAAAGCAACACTACCATCGCCCCAACAGTTTACCTACCAATCTCATCTTCAAAAGAGTTCATTCAATCCACCCTACAAGCAACAACTTCTGCCTATACATCCACGTATCCACCAAATGGCTCAACCAACTCGCCTTCTGTGACCAGCCCTTCCTCAACAAGTCCAACCACTACAATTGACAACACACCAACCGCCACCGTCTCAACACCAGGCACAACTTCTCGCCAGAATCCATTACCCTCTACAACTGGACCTGCATCGACCAACCCAAACGAACCCGTGCCTACTGGCCCCACCCCTCAACCTACTGGCCCTGCCCAAACTGGTCCTACCCCGACAGGACCTACACCTACCGGTACCATCACCACTCCTCCCGCTCCTGGACCTGCGTCAACCAACCCAAACAAACCGCGACCCACCGGCTCAACACCTCAACCTACTGGTCCTACCCCAACCGGCCCTACTCCAATTGGACCAACACCTACTAGTCCTACCCGTACAAGGCCTACACCCACCGGCTCCACCACGACTCCATCGGCTACGGGTCCTGCGTCGACCAACCCCAATCAACCAGCACCCACTGGCTCCACACCCAATCCTACAGGCCCAACCCCTACTGGCCCTACTCCAACTGGCCCAACCCCTACTGGACCTACTCCAACGGGTCCTGCACCTACTGGTCCAAACCCGACTGGACCTACCCCATCAAGGACTACCCCATCAGGGCCTACACCTACGGGGCCTACACCTACTGGTCCGAATCCTACTGGGCCAACACCTACCGGCTCCACCACGACTCCATCGGCTACGGGTCCTGCGTCGACCAACCCCAATCAACCAGCACCCACTGGCTCCACACCCAATCCTACAGGCCCAACCCCTACTGGCCCTACTCCAACTGGCCCAACCCCTACTGGACCTACTCCAACGGGTCCTGCACCTACTGGTCCAAACCCGACTGGACCTACCCCATCAAGGACTACCCCATCAGGGCCTACACCTACGGGGCCTACACCTACTGGTCCGAATCCTACTGGGCCAACACCTACCGGCTCCACCACGACTCCATCGGCTACGGGTCCTGCGTCGACCAACCCCAATCAACCAGCACCCACTGGCTCCACACCCAATCCTACAGGCCCAACCCCTACTGGCCCTACTCCAACTGGCCCAACCCCTACTGGACCTACTCCAACGGGTCCTGCACCTACTGGTCCAAACCCGACTGGACCTACCCCATCAAGGACTACCCCATCAGGGCCTACACCTACGGGGCCTACACCTACTGGTCCGAATCCTACTGGGCCAACACCTACCGGCTCCACCACGACTCCATCGGCTACGGGTCCTGCGTCGACCAACCCCAATCAACCAGCACCCACTGGCTCCACACCCAATCCTACAGGCCCAACCCCTACTGGCCCTACTCCAACTGGCCCAACCCCTACTGGACCTACTCCAACGGGTCCTGCACCTACTGGTCCAAACCCGACTGGACCTACCCCATCAAGGACTACCCCATCAGGGCCTACACCTACGGGGCCTACACCTACTGGTCCGAATCCTACTGGGCCAACACCTACCGGCTCCACCACGACTCCATCGGCTACAGGACCTGCGCCGACCAAACCCAACCAGCCGGGACCCGCAGGCTCTACACCCCAGCCCTCGAGCACGGCGATACCGTCGTCCATAAGCCCCACAGTTACTAGTACGGCTGCGCCCAACAAACCTTCATCTACGGTTTCGACATTGGCCCCTATAGGTCCACCTACGACAGCTTTAGCTACGACTCTTGCTCCTAAGACTACCACAGCCCCACCCCCGGTGACAGCTACCCCAACTCGTCCACCGGCGCCTACAACATCAAAACCGTATGCTACTTCTCGTGGCAAGTGCTGAGTACCCTAGCATTGTGTTTTACGTATGTCGTGACAGCAGTTTTATGTATGCAGGGCGTACCAACATTCAGTCAAGGATACAAGGATACATGTTTTGGTGTCTATACAAGGATACATGTTTTGGTGTCTCATTTGAGGGTTATTTCGTACACCTACGAAGTATTAAGACTTTCAACGTCGATAAAGACATGGGAATTCAAACAACACAGTTATCGTCCTTGGTCACATGCAATGAATGTTCGTCAATAAGGTGGCTACATTGGCTAGACCTTGCAACGAATACCTTAACATACCGTTGAGCTATCCATCCCGTCGCCATTGCTGCCTCGACCTTGTATTGAGCTATGTACGACAGTTGCAAGTAACGATATGAACGAAATTATCCCCTTCGATCCCTGAATACTCGAATGTAGTCCCATAGTTCGATGTGATTCATGGCAGCATGCATAACATGATGATCCGACCAAGAGGGACAATAGTTGTCACACATTTCACTACCAATGGCTTGGAATGCATGATGTTTACATGTCGTCGTCTGAGAGAGAAAACTAGCGTGGACAATAGTTTTGTAAGCAAAGGCAATTCTATCATGTGTTGCAAAACACTAGAGAAATACAAATGGAACGACGACATGTGACGGAATCGGACTTGAATGATGATTGCTTGAACTCAAAAATTGGAGTCCAATAATGCACCACAATGTATGTGGAAACGGTAGCAAACTTGAGCTGCGTACAATATTATCCATACTGATGGATAGATTGGCTAGTACACGTACAATTGTTCCTGGTGCAAGCCAGGATATGGGAAATCAAGTTTGCATAATAATTTCGTCAGACATTTGAGCTGTAGAAGTCTCAATTCAAGTATTAATATTTGGCAAGAGTGCAGTTTGCGTGTATATCCCGTGTGTGACAAAGTCAAATCAAAAGTGTATTGATGCTTCCTACGTTACGTGCTCCGATAAGAAGCAGACATTGCTGCGACGACATAGTATAGTTATCCCTCATGAGTGTCAAGCATCCAGCAGGGTTACTTGTGGATCAGGGCTCGTTAACGAGCTTTAGTAGGATCCGGGGGCGACGGGGCTTTTCGTTGTGCCCGCAGGTCGATACGTCGATGGATTGGCAGGCTGAGACGGCCACGACGTTGATCCGGCAGGTGCAGGATTGTTTGCAACGGTAGTGGTTGGGCTAGTTACCGAAGGACGAACAGTGAAGGCGGTAGGACTGGAGGTTGGAATGGTGGGTACATAAGGCCTTGGAGTTGAGATGACCGAAGTCGGTTGATTCGCAATCGTGCTAGTCGGGCGTGTGATGGACGGGACCGACGTCGAACCTAATGGAGAAGGACTAGAGGCTAAGGGTTTAGTCGAGGAGACTGCAGGTGGATACGTTGAACGGTAGGTGGTGGTGGGCGAATTCGATGGGCCCGTAGGCTGTGGAGTTGAGGTTCGACCAGAGGCGGAGGGAACTGTAGTCGACGCACGAGGAGAGCGGCTAGTTGTGAAAGGTATAGTTGCCGAGGCAGCAGGTGCGTTCGTTAAGAGGTTCAATGGTGGAGTAGTTTTGGGAGATTTTGACTTGCCAGTTGGCTGTGGCGTCGATATTGGACGCGTGGTGGAAGTAACCGTAGTTGGGCTAGCCGTGGTAGGACGCTTAGTTGTGCTTGTAGGCGGATACGTGGAGAGGTTTGAGGGCAGTGTGGTTTTGGGTGAAGTTGACGTGCTTCTAAGCTGTGGTGTCGAAGTAGAAGTTGTGGTTTGGGTGGTTTCGGTGCTAGATGGACTGGTAGTTGAAGGAACGTTGGTGTCCGAAGGGGGATATGTCGACATGTTTGATGAGTCGTTGTAAGTTGGAGTTGGAGTTGTGGGTGATTGGAGGACGGATTGAATGAACGCCTCTCCAGCTGCGACGAGAATGTAGACAGCTGGAGCGATGCTGTTGTTCTGGCTTTGCCAATACGTGAGTCCAATCAATTGGCTTGTACCATTGACGTCCACCATGACCGCGCTGCCACGATTTTGCTGGCATTGGATTTCGCGAAGACACTGCATGGATCCGTGAAGTGTTCGTTCATATCCTGGGTGACCACTGTAGAACTTGTCACACTCGTCGAAGCCCCACAGTTTCGCCGTGGTTTCCACGAGGGTCTTGTTCATCGTGGAAGTGTCAAACCCACGCACCCACAACGTTGAGGTGTCCAAGTAACTGTCCCAAGATATGTTGACTGGTGTGTACTTGCTTGGCGTTTTCAGTTCCAACATGGCCAATTCGTGGTACGGCGTCACGGAAACGGTATAGTCGGGGTCCAGAACTTGACGAACGACTTCAATCAGCTCGGAATCATCTTCACCCGATGCACACTTGGATCCAATCGTAGCCCACTTCGCCATGGGGGCGCATTCCGCCAGGGTGAGTAGCCACGTGGGGGCGATGAGTGCGCCACTGCAGGACGCTTCCGACGTGTTGTTTTCGCTCAAACCAGCCAGGTACAAGTGCTCGGTACCATTTCCAATGGTGTTGATGGCACTCGAAGTGCCAAGTGTATGAGGGAATTTGATCATGACACGCGTGGTCAAATTGGAAAGTGAGCAACTCGGTGGTTGTTGAAGTCGATAACTTGTCGTATATTATCTGTCCCTTCAAGATCTGTCAAATGATCCAATCACATGCTCGGATCTCGAAAATTATCAGCCAATGGCATGATTCTACAGTCCATGAGCTTGATGTTTATCTGTCTGTTGAAGATCGCGTGTAAGCCAATCACAACTCATAAGATCTCCTCGTATGGACCAATGGGTTTACGCCGTTTTATTGTTGTGTGTAGAGTTGCATCAACTCGTGGAAATCCATCAATCAAGTGATATTCGAAACAAATATGTAGCAGTATGGCGCTGCAAGCATGACTGGATCGAGAGTACACCCCCCATGAACGATACAAGACGCCTAAATGAACAGTACACGTTGTCATACATTTGGTGGTCGTGGCTGTTGATTCTATCACGACTAACTTGGTGTTGGCCCAAAATGCCCCCCTCAAGCAAAAGCAAACGCCATATTTATGTGAATTGAGCATCTAGCTTGGCTTGCATGGGCTACCGAGGAGTATATTTTTCGACTTCAATGGTGCAATTCTAGTAGATTCATTACGATTTGTCCATATATTCACTGGTTTTACAAGTGAGTTATTGCGGCCCTTCAATGTAACCACATTTTGGAACTGGAAACGTCATGCAGAAGCTCATTTGGACTGCCGCTGCCGTCATGACCGGAGTCGTTGTGAATGCACATTTTGCAAACCTCGAGAAAGCAAAGTTGACCACGTACATGGCGCAACTGCGTTCGACTGCGACGAGCCCCATGCTCTGCCAAGGTGTTCTTGTTCAGCCCAACTTCGCCCTCTTCACTCGAGCATGTGCTGAATATTATGACACGGCGAGCAAAGTTGTGGTGGCCCCAACTCAGATGAATGGCAGGTTAGATGGAGGCGAGTCAATCCAAGTGCTCAAGTACCACTACAGTGTCAACAGTACCCTGGACTTTGCAATGGTAGAATTGGCTCGACCATCCAAGTTCCCACCAGTTCGAATCATGTGGGATAACGTCGACCCTGGCAAGCTGGTGTGGCTCCGTGGCTGGCTCCCATACAACAACACCTTGACCACCCTCGTGGAAACCACAGTTGAAGTCCTTCCGAACGACAAGTGCCACGCGAAACTTGGACGCCCCATGTTCGACTACCAAGGATGCAGCGCCAACAACAACATTGACAAGTGCAGCTCGTACATTTTTGGATCCCTCGTCATCGAGATCGGTGGAACGGATTTTTTTGTCGGCACAATGTCGTTGTACGACTGCATGGGGTCGCCCAAGTTGCAACTATTCAATCGTCTCTCGGCTGGTCGCTCCTTTATCGAGCCATTCCTGTCCAAGGGAACGTAGCTGGATTCGTTACTAAGTTTGTCATCAAATACTTTCTTTTTGGAGATAGCACATGTATGATCCTTCCAACTTGTTTCCACATCTAGTTTTTCAATATGTCCTCGTCAACTTCGGATCGAGATCGGAGAGAGGACCCCAAAACACTAACTACTACGGTTATACCGATACTTCGACATGGTTCTATTCGATCAAAACCGACCAGTACAAATTCTGTGGGATGCAACTAGAGTGGCTGTGTGGATGGTCCTATGTAGCTCCATTCAACAACGTAAATGCCCTCACGAGATGCCCCGTTGATGTTCTTGTGAATGACCATTGTCAGACCAAAGTCCATCATCCTACTTACGACTACCAAGGACGCGGAGCCATTTCTGTGCAATGGAGCGCAGCTAGATTCATCCATCGCATCGGGTGTATATGTTTGCTATTCGTTCGTCGCAACGGTGCCCGCATTTGTCAACTATGGTAACGTTAGATTGAGAAGATTCTTGGCACTTATCTAGTGTGAGCACTCTGGGATTTCTGGCGCACAAGCATGGACTTCCTATTGTGATCATGTAAAGGAATCCGCCATACCACAAGTTAGCATCGGTACACGAGGACGCGAGTGTCATCGCCACCAACGTCCGCTACCGGGGCGGAATCATCCGATGTGTCGGCTTGTCTAGTTGTACTTGCTCCATCTAACGAAGCGGACAAAACGCCCAACCAACGTTTCGGCAACACAGCAGGAGCAATCTAGGCGGAGGAGCAATAAGTAGGCGAACGATCGCCGAAGACTCGATGCACGACTATCAACCCCTTCTAGGTCGTAGTCTCGCTCGCTCGTGTGCGTGTACATGGTCATCGCAACGTAGCGAAGAATGCCCACCTTCATTTAGAAATGTTGATTCAATGCTACGAAGTCTGATTGATTCATAAATATCCCAGTTGACCTGATTTCCATCGACATAAGGAAATAGATGACTGAATCAATCGATGGTGTTCAACAACAGCTAGTATCTTGACTGTGTAGAAGACGAACTACAAACTGATTACACTTTTCATCTACTGCTCGATAGCTAGGTAACCCTGGAGCCGCGCCTAGTACAAACTGTCACCAGCACCCTCACTATAGCTACAATGGTATAATAGGAGGTGTTGTATTATACTGGTAACGTTAATTCAAACTATAGCGCTATTGATACCTAAAGGATAAGTTTGACAACTCCACTACAGTACACCGCATAGTATTGGAAGCGCCACCACGTCATGAATGCATTCTACAAACTCCGAAACGACGAGAAAACAGAGTCTTTTGATATTTTACCTTCAACCTCAACGATACGATGAAATCAACCGCAATACTACTAACTTTCAAGCGTGTTGTCCTCACACTCTTGATCTCTCGACGTGGCACGCAAATGCTCAACTGGATCGTCAACGTTGCCGCCGTCGCGACTGGTGTGGCAATGGCTCATTACTCGCCCCTCCAACCAGCAAAGGAACTACCATACATGTGTCAGTTACGCTCGACAGCAACGGATGTCATGGGGTGCCCAGGATACCTCGTCGGCAGCACCACGGCAATCTTTTCTGCCGCTTGTGTCAAGTTTTTCTTCACGGCAGACAAAGTCGTAGTGGGGGCGACTCAAATCAACGGTGGGCTGGACCAAGGGGAATGGGTTCGTGTGGCTAAGAAGCACTTCCATCCAAACTGGAACGAACAGACCCGTGAATACGATATCGCAGTGGTGGAATTCGCTCGACCAATAATGCAACAACCAGTGGGTATTCTATGGGACGACATCGCCCCTGGCAACTTGGTGTGGATGCGTGGCTGGATGCCATTTAACCCAGCTTCCAAGGGTCTGTACGAAACCACCGTCCAAATCTTACCAAACGACCAGTGCCAGAACCATGCGGCCCGCGCTGTGTACGCCACGCATGTCTGCGCCGAGAACCAAATCATTCAAGGTTGCCAGAATTTCATCGATGGACCGCTGACGATTGAAATCGACGGGGACGAATACGTTGTTGGCGTTTTGAGTTTGTACATGTGCAACACGACACCCCAGTTCCAGATCTACAGTCGCATATCAGCCCATCGCGACTTTATCGAGCCCTTTCTGTGTCCTGGATCCCTATGGTAATGCCTCTTATATATGACGTGTCACCAAGTTGCGGCGTTGTATGAGAAGCTTGAAGATGACAAGAGAATCGATGGGCTATAGTAACAATCTCAATTTGTTTGTGCTTTGTGGGCATACGTACCTATCTCCACATTGTTGAACTGGCGAATAAGTTATATCAATATGTATAACGCCAGAACAAAATCTACCTGTAATTGGGAATAAACTTCGTCGCACTATATCAGGTTGTGGTCCACAGCACAACAACATGCATTTTCATCGATATATATTCGTGCAGTATGGATTCACACTTTCGAAATGTCTGATACTACGGTTGTTGAATGCAGGTGCGGAGGTACGATCATAAACGCCACTGCATTGCTCGGCATTTATCAGCAGCAAACGCTTAAGCTCCAGAACTGTCACGAATGATGACGACTAATAGACCGTCAATATGCTGCATTGTTATACTTTAGCAAGGTATTTTGAAAGCACCATATTGGACACGCATGAAAAACACAAAACAGCAATAATATGAAGATATCGGTGACACCCTGTCGACACAAATCGGACGAGGCACGGGGTCAGGGTCGAACGGACAAGCGGTTCCTACACGTTCAGGGGACACAACAACGGCTCAACAAAGTCGCGGAGTTTGGAAAGGCGGCTGTAGTCGCTTGGACGGTTCACCTCAAAGCAACTGAGCTGCAAACTCAAGAGACCCAGCAGGGCATCGACGCCACTCTTGGTCGTCGTGGTCAACGGTCCATCGATACCGGTAAAACAATTTTGAATCGCATCGTTCGAAGCACATTGGATCGTTTTGAAGTCGAGCCATGGAAGCTGCGATCTGCATGTGGCCGTAGTCTCGATGCGAACGGGGGCTTCGTAAAGGTTACGGTCCGTTCGATTTCGCGGCATCCAGCCCCGGACCCACGCGGTAGACCCTGGCGGGGCATCGTCCCACAAGATGACCACAGGATCGTGTTTGGACGGGGACACCAATTTGACCACGACCACGTCGTACTCGAACGTAGTGGTGCTCAAACGAGGATGAAACGTTTTCGACTCGATTTGAATCCACTCGCCGTTGTCTTCTTTGCCATGTTTGTAGGGTGGTCCAATTGCCACCCAGCCGTGGGAGGGGTACGACTTGACGCAAGAACCGGCAAAAAGCACTATGGACGACGTCACAAGCGCCCCGGAGCAGCCCATGGAGTAAGCTGGGGGGCCCTGACGCAATTGAGACAGATACGGCTTGATCCCCACATCAACTTTGGCGAATGGAGACGTGAATGCTACCGTCACGGCCAACGCGGCGGCGGCTGTCATAGCCACTAGGGTGTGTGGCATTTCGTTGTGCTTTGAAGAAGATTCAACAATGACAACCAATGCAAGCCATATATTCACCACTATGTATAGATGATACATTTGTTCCACTGTAATCAGCCATGTTGAATTCAATTTTACCTGTACAATGCTCTTCAACGGTAGTTCAGTCAAATACTTCGATAGGCACAAGACAAAACCCCGAAACCCCGAAATCACTCAAAATGTTGTCACGCTCTACTGGTACTGAGTACTAGTAGTACTGAGTACTCTAACGTAATAATACTACTGTACGACTGGTACTCATTAGTGTACGTCGGCAATACTAAGTACATTATGTGGTCGACGGTTGCCTAGACCTTTATGAGGATTACTATACTTCTACCGGTAGGCATGAATTCATTATTGCCAGCCTAGACAGGTGCATTTCTAGGGAGACATCGAAATGTGTGCTGTACACCGTCAATTGGTGTTACCTTGGAGTTACAGTACAGTTTACAATGTACTTGTACGATTCGGTATTTCCCAACTACCAATACTAACGTTACTGTACAGTAGTAGTTACAACGTAAGGTGAAAATGAACGGCACAGAATGCACACAGCAACTTCCATTTCTTGTGGTTTTCAATGGAGCGATGATGCGATAACGTTATGGTAGTTGAGCGTCGACTAACAGTAAGGTATGCCGCTGACTCCTCACGCAAAACGATGTAGAAAACACACACATTGGACATGCCAACACGTGTGCAAGATTTCATTCTGGTATTCTTCATGGGCGTTTGCGAAACGTTCTACTTAGGATGGCATGATGACCGATTCAATGAAATCTCGTGTCACTGTGACGTCACCGTACACATTTGGCTCTCTCCACAGCATTGCAAAGGTAGGATCACGCTCCCGATCCATTCATCTCCATCACCCACCAGTGGACTCAAAGGCCGTTGACCGACACCGCGTTGTCGCAGATGGGGAGGGGCTTCGTTCGACGCGCATTGCATCATGTCATAGACCACGCGTCGTTCTTTATTGGTCGCTGTATTTCTTCTTCACAGTCGCTGTACCCGACAATACTCAAGTTGGTGTTAACTTGGCGCGGATTCACCCATATCTCATTAAACTTGGACAATAATCAATTGGAATCGATTGATACCCTTCGTTATTCACCGTGGTTTGCTAAAAACCCTCTGGCGGGCCGCTTGTTATGACGAGGACCTGCGGTGAAGCTGTGTGGGGGATTTCCAGCACCACAGCAAATAAAGACAGCGGGCTTCTTAATATTGCCACCTCCAAGTTGGTCTAGAGTGCACTGTTACGAACACATGCAAAAAATCGTTGTAAAATGGCCCCACAGATGTAAACGCCACTGAGGTTAGATGCCACACACGCAACGTTGTAAATATGTAGTGTTCCCAAACTGTATGGAATAGATGCACGTGCAAGGTAATGCAATTGAAGAAGAGAAATAGCGAAAAGGTTAGCTCAGAGTGGTCTCAAGAGACCACTAGGGTCTGGTTGGATGGTCTCCGATTCTGAAGATGGCTGAGCCTATAGCCCTCCATGACACCTAATAAACTACGGGTAGTTACGATTAAGCATCAAACATTCTCTCTTGTACGTAGACTGCATGTAGCAACACGTTGGAAGACATCAAGACGCATCGTGTTGAGTTACCACAAATGACATGGACGTTAGATTCCGCTGACGAACGGTTCAATGAAATCGCGCATCGTCGATAGACGAGTATACATGTAGGGAAGTGGCGAGCAATGGCCTGGCGCAAGACTGATGCCAATCAAGTGATCTTTACCATTCAACACCACCACGAGAGGCCCATTCAACAGCACTTCCTCGCGAGGGCCACTAGTGTACTCGGCGCATTTTGCGTTGTCAGAATTCCACGCACACTGAATTGAGTCGCAGATGGTGAACGAAGGTGGAGCAGCATCGTTCATTCGTTCTTGACAGTCCTTGTTGTCGAGTAGAGTCATGTTCGGTTGAAAGGCGGGTCGTTCGGGTTGGCTCAGAATCCATCCATTGACTCCCACGTTGATCCCGGGGTCCATGTCGCCCCAGTGAATTTTGACAGGGGGGTACCGGCTTGGAGTCTTCAATTTGACCACCACCACGTCGTATTCCTGGTTCATTTCGTCGAGTTTTGGATGGTAGTGTCGTTGGACGATGGGGATCCATTCGTCATAGCCAGATTTGTTTGGGTAGGTCGATGCGACAGAGATGGCTTCGTTTGGAGACATTCCAATCGTGCTGGAATTGAAGCAGTTGGCGGAAAACAACACCATGTTCGGAGCGACGAGTGCCCCAACACAAGGGAAGAACTTGTGCGTGCGTTCGATACTCAGGTGCGTCACATACGCCCTAGTCGAGGCCATGTCGACCTTTGAAGGAAGCGGGGTGTCCAAGCCAACCACGGCGGCAACGACGGCAAGCCCAACTACGAGCTTGTTCCAATGCATGGCAAGTTTGAAAATGAAAGATGAACTTTACATTTTTGGTGGTTGAACTGAGTTTGACCGCTGTTCGATTTTCTGCTGCACTTTCCATACTGTAAATTCGATTGAATTTGTAACCGCCAGTCCGAGCAACTACGTAACTGATTCAATACTTCGCACTCGCCAAATTCAATGGCGTAGGATGAACATTCCTGGATCCATTCGTCTTTGCCCGTATTAGTAAGTACGACGGCGACGACGGCAAATGAGACGACGTAGCTTGTTCCAAGCCATGACAACTACTTCGAAAATGTGAACGTAGAATACAGTTATGTGGTTGAACCAAACTGAGTTTGACCACCGAAAGATATGAATCGATTTTTGCGATGTAGTCAGGACACTGCAAGAGGCCAATATGACGATATGAGATTCTGCAGAATGCACCGCTGCGTTGACTTTTAGCCATGTGGGACCGTCCACCATGTGTACCGGCAAGGGGTTCCCTGGCGTGTGCAAAGGAGATTACGGCGGTCCGCTGATTGTTCGGAACGACGCAAAATACTTCCTTGTGGGGACATCACCAATCGGAGCATTCGCTGCGGCCTCGGCCTCCCTACCCTGTGCGATCGTGTGTCGATCCTTCATCGAACTGTTCTCGCCCTCAATATAAACGAGGACCCGAGGCAAGGGAACCACGATGTGTCCGTTGTCAACATGACTGACGCAGTCTCATATACATCCCATTCAGATTGCCATATAAATGTCAGAAAACACCTCTTTTTGCAGCTTTTCTGATTTTTTTTGACAACTTTTCAAAGGACGACGATTTCTTTTGTGTATGGCTGCTATAAATTCTGGCATATATAAATGGACATAATACGTCTAATTTTTACTACTATCTGGCAGAAAAAAGTTTCGACTGCAATTAACCAAATTTTACCTAACTGTAAGGGTGGGTCAGGTTCACCCCCCAATTTGTTTCCAATTAATATTTCTAAACTTTGGTCACAGTGATTCCAACAATTTCGTTGTCACTTGTTTTGGTTCAATCTCATTTTGAAAGAAACTTACAGTTATCGAGTCTCAGTTATTCCGAACTTTCAGAAAAAAGGTCCTTCGAGCCTCCTTTTTTCTTTTTGAACGAAAAATGTGGTATTTCGCGTAATATTGAATTCTCCAAGTGTTGGATCCAGACAGTGAATATTATCCTTTTTGCCGATTTATTAGAAATTGCTAAGGGCCACGCTGGCTGCCATGAAAAATGTCAGAAACCCCCAATTTTGTCAACTTTTCAGAAATATTATGACAACTTTTCAAACGATAGCTTTTGGGTGCTTGGCTCCGAACCTGACATTGATAAATTGACATAATAATGAAGTACGTCGAATCATTACTGTTTTCAGACAACACAGAAAGAAGTTTCAACTGCAACGGTCCAATTTATTCCAGCAATTGTTCTCACTCTATCATGGCATCCATAGGTCACCAGTATCAATATTAATTAATACCCATGTTTTTGATGACTGTGATTGGTCGGTCTGGTTGGACAGATGGAAACTCCATCACATATCAAGCCGCGTGATGGCATTGGTCATTTTCAAACAATGAGCAAACTACTTGAGCCACTGGACCCCCACCAAGCGTCGTTAGGGCTGACGCTGGCCTACTTCCACCACTTCATCGACATCCACGGCGGCCGCGACGTTGTTGAAAGCCTAGCCACCATCGACGTATGCGCTCGTGATGGTGTTGGTTCCTCAAGCGCACGTGGTGTGTGTTCGAAGTGTACTTGTCAATTGTACTTCAAACTCGGTTTGAAATCGCCATGACCAAAGCGCAAAAGACCGTGTTTCTGGACGAAATGCTGCTCCACTCGAACGATGTGTTGGAAATGATGAGCCAAGTCAGTAGCAAGCACTCGACCACGACAGTGTCACGCGATCGCGACCACATTTTCGACCTCATCGAGAAGCAAGTCGGATTTGCCGAGTTGGATCGTATGGTGATACAATTCAAACGTGGATATTTCAAGCCCTCGACTGCCAACTGACGACGGCGATCTCCCCGTCCGAACACTTTCGTTCGTTGTGCTCCAAGGCCAGCGCGTTAATTGCACTCGGGTCCTTGACACAAGACGAAGGGTTGCTGCTAAAAGTAGTGGCCATGTCGGTGGACGAGATCTCCCACCGACCACGCCTAAGGGATGGGACGCCATAATAGATCTGGGCCAGATGAGGGCCCTCAAGCGATTCCCTACGGAGACATGGGTGCCATTTTTTGTCGAAGGACTCTCCATGGTGCGGCACCTACGTGGACCAGACCACCCTGCAACATTGGACACGATGAAGACCATTGGCAGATGGTACTGCCGCAGCCACATGTATGACCAAGGCATGCCACTGCTGCGCGAGTGTTTAGAGATTAAAGCGCGGATTGGGGACACCGACATAAAGGTCATGGATACAGTTCATTACCTCGGGGAATTACTGTACGTGCAAGACCAGGTCGTAGAGGCCCAAGCGTTGTTCGGTCAAGTGTACGAACAGATGTGTCGAGTTAGCGGACCAGGCCACCCCCTTGCGATGGACGCCCAAAGCAATATTGCCACGTGCGCCGTCGCTCGAGGGCATTATGCGGCAGCCGAAGCCACATTTTCCGAGTATTTCAACGAAATGCTGCGACAGTATGGCGTCGGACACAGACACACGATTTCATCGCTGCTCAGTCTCGGCAAGGTGCGCCGGCTTCGAGGCAATTTCGATCTCGCAAAGGCGAACCTGTTGCATTGCATCGAAAACTACCGCGATATGGACAAGCTAGCATTGGTTTATGAAAGTAAGACCTCTGTGGTATGCAATGTCAGTACTATAAATGGTGTGCGTAGGTCAGTATGAACTGGGCCTAGTAGCATACAGCACAGGCGAGTACAACGAAGCGACCTCCAAGTTGAGCGACTCGTATTCGACGTATGCGTCGCATTACGGACCGACGTCCACAGAATGCGGCGGCGTCCTCTTGACGCGGTTCCTTGTACATATCGAAATGGTCCCAGCTTTTGCATCGTTGGAGATTGTGGACGATTTTCTCTCCAGATTCCACACCACCGGCGCCTTCAACAGCGGGTGGAGCAACTGGAAGTGCCTCGCATGCTTTGGACTCATCTGTGGCGATATGGTCATGTGCCTGGAGTGTTCTCGGCTGTCGTACCGCCTGTGTCAGTCCTGTGCCCAAGCTACACCTCTGCTATCGTTGGAGCAGTGTGCGCACAGTAATAATAGCAGCTCGTGGAAGGCGTTCACTCCCCCATTGCGATATCTGCTCGAACACCGACTCACGCTACTAGCCCAAGCCGAGCAATGGGACGAGTACGCACACACGCCCACACGTACCTTGCATTTTGCGACGAGTTTCAAATCGAAAACCCACAACAGCTTGTACATATGACATCACTATGTATACAGGTGGAATATGTTACAGTATTCAGATTCGGAACGTCCTATGCGATGTAGGTTCAAAGGAAGCCAAAGCCACACGAAGAAGTCTCGTTGGTGTGTTTTATGCTGTAGTTGTCAAGAAGTCTCGTTGGTGTGTTTTATGCTGTAGTTGTCGGGTTGGCTGTGTATACCTTAGTCGCAAACTGGACACCTTAACTTGTGTAAGCAAATTTTAGATGGTGAACGCTGATTCTGTCGAGATCGACTGTGGAACGTCTGTGCACATATAGCCGTACGCATCAATAATTACAACTGATATTCTAAACTCGGGGATAACGTCAGTATCATTTGAGGGAGTTGAAACTGGACATGCTTGCTACATTTGCACTTTTCCTAACGTTAACATTGGATAAGAGAATATTGAAAGAACAGCATCATCAAACAACGATCCAGGGGAGGGGACTTGAATTCGTCATTGCAATGTTCCACTTTACAGTAACATCAAGTTCAACTTCGTCGCAGCAATTATATCCACCTGAAATTGCCGAATTAGCCACTAGATATTGCATATAACTTCATTGACCCGACGAAATGGGTTCTTCCCACAACTTCGGGTTGAACTGGTCAAGAGTGCAGTGGATACTTGTGTGCAACGTCAGGCCCATCGGATGATCCTCGGTGACGCTTTGATTGGCATTAACGTCGCTTGCTCTATGCATTGTATGCCGGCCAGGACAAATGCTGCACCACTGCACAACACAGTGCATGATGAGACTACTACTATGCGCGTGGAGCCTGTGTTGTCCATAGCTCAATCAACCACCACGAAGTGATGTAGAATTGGAACCACTACAGTATCCAGGAAAGTTTAGCCACGAAACACTGAAAATCCTTACGAATGTGACTCGTCTCAACTGATCCAGATATCTACTCCACCCGAATTAACAGAATTGGCAACTTCCGACTTTCGGCTAGAAGTTGGGGAGATCGGCTGAAGAGTAAATGATTGCTGTTGTCGGCCAGGTTTGATACGTGTCATGCTATGTACTGTACTTGTAATGCATACCCACAATTATTAACGTTACTCCCAAGGTTGCGTGCGATGTCTCAAATGTTCAAAAAGTCTGAGCGATATTTCGAACATTCGAACCTTGCAGTGCAATTTCAATTGTGATGTGTGTATTATTTACCGGTAATATACTCAGCTGAAGACCAGAGCGGTAGATAGCCGCAAAGTGAGGCATCGTTTCTCGACCACCCTCAAAGTGCCAGACAACCCCACACCACGTTCTTCGAATATACCAAGGTGAACCTCCACAACAAACAGGGATATGAGTATCGAATTGGCATTGTGGGGGCAGCATGGATGACCCCTGGTGAACCTGACCTTTCGCCTATAATCATTTAATTTTGCTTGATGAAAGTTGCAGCTACATCCGCAAGTTGCATTCACATGAGTGTGGTGCAGGTCGAGCAGGTTTTCTGGTATAGTCGACAACGCTCTACGGCCAAGCTAGATTCAGTGATTTGAGCGATTGAATTTGCGACGTATATAGGTAGCTACGCAAGCATGACTGTGCTAGAAGTGTTCATGGCGAAATGTGACAACTAATCGATCCATGGAAGAGTCCTAACTCGCCCATATCTCCGGGTAGGCTTCGCGGTATCTGTGGACCTTGAGCTAACCGGAGACTGAACCAGCAACCATGGGGGTGTACGTCGACCAAACACAAGGAGTTCTGTTACGTAGTCGACACAATCTACCCACTGAGCTATAAGCACTGCTCAAGGTAGTCTTATAACTTGTAATGTGCTCTCAATTCTTGGCATTACTAGTATTGGTATTGGAGTTAGGTTATTCGACTTCCAACTATGTAACGCTAATTGGCGTATATGTCTGCTTTTATCGACTCAACTATGGGCTGCCGAGACGGTCGCGGGTCGTACAGTGCCGGTGGGTTTTCATTCGCTTCTGCAGCTAAGTAAGGTTCCAGAAAACTCCGACCCAGTGCGACACTGGCATACATCGTGGTCGTGCTCACATCGCCCGCCACCTTGGACACACATCCAACGCCTCCGACACCCGCCACTTGGCCATCCATTAGCAGCGGTCGTCCTGAATTGCCACTACACGAGGCATCCACGGCAAACGTGCGGGCACAGATCACGGTGGCGTCTGCTTTGGAGGTAATCGAAGTGCAATCTGGCAAGATGGACAGCTCGTGCACGTTGGCCGAATTGCTACCAGACACCCACGACAATGCAGCTGAGGTCGATCCATCTACACTTGTCCACCGAAGGGGGGTTGTGGGCACGCGACTTTGGACATCCAACTCCACCACCGCCAAATCAAACGATCGTGTGAACGCATTGTACTGAGGATGGGCCACTGCGTCGACCACTTTGCGCCGTCGTTCGACGTTGTTGCCGATTTCAACCCATGCCAATGGCTGCGCGATGCAGTGCGCTGACGTCAGGACATGTCGTGGCGCGATGAGCACTCCCCAGCACACTGCGGACGAACCCCCAGCTGGATAAAGCGTGGCCAAGTAGGAAGGGGATGCACTGGCCGTGACGCCTTGTAGTATGACCACCAGGGCGCGCAACTTTCGCATGTTGGTTGTGTTGACGAGTGAGAGGTGATAATGACGTTTGAATGGATCGACTTGGATTAATACCTAGCGACGGCGAAAGGGACATTTCAATGATGAGGTTGAAGTGGATACTACCGGTAGATTGAAACACGTGGACAGTTATATAAATAGTTTCTAAGGGAGCTGTCAAGTTAACGTTCTCGCAAATGTGGTGTTGTAGCTGTGTTGTGTATGCGACAAGGGTATATCTAAACGTCTCTCCATACTGTATCCTCAGCCAACTGTACAATTAGTATGGACTAGGATGGTTTGAAGTCGCAAATTCGAAAAATAAACTGAATTCAATTAAACCAATACTAAAACCAAGTTGTTTTTCGGTGTAGAAGGCAATGGATACAAATTGTGACTTTAAACCGTCCTAGTCCATACTAATTGTGATTAGATCGAGTAAGTACCAATGGTAATGTTGTTGCCAAGTACATTATGAAGGACATCTTCATTTGTTCCTAACCGTAGAATTGTTTTCGTACGGAAATAGGAGCCTTCTCCCAAGCCTCACCCATGTATAACCTATTTAACGCATATTTAAGCTTGAAGTTTGTATACTTTGAAGCAGCGTTAAAGGATTCTGACTCCTGCTAAATCCTGTTTTTATCCTATTGTTACGTGGAATCAAACGTTAAACATCTATGAAGGAATCCATTGAATTCTCCTCGAAAAACTGTCTTGGCACACTATGTCTACAGTATTTTCTGAAATTTCATGACAAAATTCACTTGCTCTAAGCATCGAATTTTTGGGGTATGATGACTTTTGAGACCCACTGTACACTACACATTCACCAACTGGGCTACACAGTACCGCAACGTGCGACATACCTACGGTACTCGGAGTACATTGTACACGGGTGTATCTCACACTGTACCTCAAAGGCGACCCTGCAATGTCACCTTCAATGGGCTCAACATCTCTGTCGACATGTCACCTAAACCTGTCTGTCGACATGTCACGTGCAATCAGATGCGCTACTGTAACGTTACAGTATTTACTGGTCCATTGTACGAACCTTAATGTGAAACTGCCGACCATCATAAGGTACTGGTAGCCTGTACGAGCCATTAATTGAAACCGTCAACCACCTCCATATGTTAAATGTTAAGCCGAAACTGCATATCCCAGTTGATGAGGCCTTCCCTTTCATGCGACAATTGGTTCAAGGCCATTACTTCCCACCGCAAACAGGATTGTAGCCTACATTTCCTTAACACTAATCCAGTGTGGATCTAAAGTCGTCCCTTCTGAGTCTAAATTGTCACGAATAGTCAACATTTCCTAGGACAGTTGAAGGGGAAGTGTACTGTACAGTATATTCCTTCTTCAATCGAAGCCTTGGGTACAACGTAAAACAATACCGGTAGTAAGTACTGTATACCTTCGGTAGTGGGCGGAATTTCGTATTTCTGGCCACACTGTACGCTCCTACTACGAGTGCTTGACTTGTGTGAACACTTGGTTGATATTACTTGGATTGTACATACACTGCCTCAACGTCGAGTCGACTGGCTCAGCTTAGGCGAATATCGGATCTCGCGATGGACGAATGTATTCATTGTCGTCGTCGGAGGTCGGGCGAGGGGGACGTGTGGGGTCGGCGTTGGCCACCGGTTGCAAATACGGTTCAATGAAGCTTTGAGCCTTAGAAACGCTTGCAAACATGGACGTGGCCCCGTTTCCAGCCGCCGAGTTGGCCGTGCACCCGACCCCCGCCACGCCGACCACTAGATCGTTCACTACCAGCGGCTTCCCCGAGTCCTCTCCACAGGTGGCCACCATCCCAGGACCAGGGCATAGAATGGTGTGAACTTGATTCTCCACCATTATCGGCTTTCCTGCGTCGGCGCCACAAGTGGCCCCAATGACGGAGCTCCGAGCACACAGAATCGACGGATCCGGAAACGTCAGCGAGCACTTGGCCATGACCAGGCCAGACTCGAGGGCACTCCCGCTACCACGGGGCACCCACGCCGCGGTGGCGTCGCCAGTCGATGGCGATTTCAGCTCCACGTCGGTCCAGCGAAGAGGGACGGTGGACTGCCGACTGGGCAGATCCAATACCACCACCGCCAAGTTGAACGACCGAGTGTTGGTATTGAACTGCGGGTGGACCACAGTCTGGATCACGCGGCGTTGTTCGGCGCCAATCTGTACATACACCAATGGCTGGTATGAAATGCAATGGGCCGACGTGAGGATATGACGCGGGGCGACGAGCATGCCACCACATACAGACGGACCTGTCGCGGTGTACAGCGACACTGTGTACGACGTTGGGTTGATGGCTGCATGAGTACTTGCCAAAAACATGAATATTGCTGGGATTGAAGTCAGTGTTGTCCGCATCCTGATGATCTGGACGGCAATTGAAAAGTGATTACCGTCTTGGAGTGGTTATGTGGCTCAGTTACGATAGAGTTTCGGTGGAAATTGGTTACGTGTGTGAACTATTGAAGGAGAACGCGCAATATTGTATGTATTAGTACTGTGCACCACATCCAGTTTGCAACGGCAATGGATTCATCAGGACGTGGAGTCGAGGTGGAGTTCATTCTTGGTCATATAACTTGGGACATAGGATTGAAGGGTGCAGCTGGTTGGGTTGAAGGAGAGGCTACCTGGTATACCACGTACGTACGTACTGTAGTAACGAAGATCACCACGGACATATATATCATGGTTGGAACTGTACTGTAGCCGTACAACTACCGGTAGTAGGCTTGTGATATACTGTAGACAAGGGGGACTACGTTACGACGGCTTCTTCACAGTGCACACACTCGTAACGTCAGTACTTTTGAACTCGACAACGAACACTACGATGAGAAGTACGCTACGTCAGACAGGAATCGACTCTACAATACAGTAGGAGGGTGGGATGGCCGGGGGTCGTACGGAGACGTTGGATTTTCATTCGCTTCGGGAGACATGAATGGTTCGAAGAAGTTCCGACCGGGGGCAACCTTGGCATACATGGTAGTGGTGCTGGAATCCTCCTGAACTTTGTGCGAGCAGGCCACGCCAGCTACCGCAACGACTTTGCCGTCAACGATGAGGGGTCATCCCGACGTACGTCCCAGGGCACATGGACACCCACGCTTACCCTCTTGCACACACTTCGCTGATGTCTGTTCGAGAATCTATTTCAGTGCAATTGGGAACCACCACAGCATCTCGAAACATGGACATGGTGCGCCCCCCAATGATGGCGTCAATGTTGTTGGCCCCACTGAAAATATCCACCCACCGAAGGGGAATGGTGGGCTGTCGACTGGCCACGTTCAGCTCCAACACGGCTAAGTCATACACCCGTGTGATGGAATGCGGATGGGGCACCACTTCTCAGAGCCAATATTCCGACCCAACTGAACGGCCATCCCGGGCAGTGTGCGGACGTCAGCACGTGCCAAGGAGCAATGAGCGCACCCCAGCACAACGCGGGAGAGCCTGACTCGGGGTACAGCGTTGCCAAGTATGGGAATAGATCGGGGGTTGCTGACACGGCTTGCATGACAACAGACAACACGATGAACCACATCGATGGCAGCACGGTAAAGTGCAATATAAATGGGCGAAGGAGCGAGCGAGTATATTGGTGACGACATTGAAGGCCGTCTGACTTGGTGGTTAGTTGCAGTAAAACCGCAGTATCAATGACAATCTAGTGCAATATGAAAGCCAACCTGAATATTTCGAAGTGACGTGTTGGAATGTTGGATATGTTGCATGTATATATCGGCCAACACTCATCAACCTTCAACATGCAGTATTGGATTCGACGGAAGTAAACTATATTTTCCGTATAGCTGCACCTAAACATCCGTATTTGTTATGCAGCTGAACCTAGTGCACCCTGAAGTCAAGGCATGTGCATTTTCTCTACTTATATCGTTAGTATAGATGCACATCCATATTTGCTATTTAGGTGAACCTATAACTGGACAATGTCGCTAACACGATTTGCAGCCTACAACAGAGCTAACGACATTATTGCCCAGTTCTTCCATGAAGGTGGATGCTGGTGGCATCACCTCCGTATACTTGTGTTGATTGCATAGTAGGTAAACGGAGGTAATGTCGCCAGCATCCACAAATCCGACGGCAGGACAAACGATATGCAACTTCCAAAGCGTAGCAGGCACGTACAAAATGATGACAAAGCCGTCGTGGGGCCATTCGCATCCAACTAGGCCCGAGATAAACCGGGAATGATATATGGGTATTCAAATTTGCCCCACTTTTGCGGTGGAGATAAAGCCCAAAAAGTTCGGGTAAACTCCTTATCCGGAAGCAGTGTTTCCCGAACCAGTCCTGTCCATTCAATACACAGAAAAACTTGTCATGGGTACTGTATAACCTCAGTCTGTATTTTATAACGTTATCCCAAATTAAATGACCCACCACTCAAACTTTTGAAGCTTTTCGTGGTCCAAGCAGTCCCACAGGTGCAACGGTCCGCCCTCGGCTTGGCGCATGTCGAGGCAGAGTCCGTGGTGCGTGAGGTGGCGAATTTGCTGGGTCCCGCGGTCGTACTTCCACTTTTGGTTGCCATTGTTGGCATCGCAAGGCCACAAATGTACGGCGCCGCCGCGCTTGGGTTCGTACGCGTCCAGACACAAGTCGCGCTTGTTGGCGGCATCCCACGTGACGATCTGCCATTTGGTTTCCCACACCGACCAGATGGACGGAAAGTCATCCTTCCACGACCATCCCCATCGCGTGTGCGTGTCCACGGCCATGTTGTTCCATTGCGCGCCGAGAACTTTTTCGTTGGGCCGGTTGAAGAACACAATACCCTTGTAATCTTTGGCCGGGTCCACCGTGTTAAAGTCGAATTTCCAAAACCCGTTGTCCCACGCAAGCCCAAATGACTTTTCGTAGTCGACCCATTTGCCGTTGTTGTCGTGAAACATAAAGTACGCCGGCGTGTCGCCGCCATTCCCGCGCTTCGCCCATGCGTTCACGTCCAGCATGTACTTCTTGGCCATGTGCATGCTAGGCACGTGGCCGTTGACGGTGCCGCCGCTCGTTGGCCACCCCGTTTCTGTCAAGACCACCTTGCCCCCGAATCGGTTTACCATTTGAATCCATCGGACGTTCAAGTCCTCGACGGGGTTCAACTTGGAGTTGTCGGACGCGCCAAAAAACGGATGGATGTTCACCCCCATCACGTCACACTCTTTGGCCAGTTCCGAGCCCGAGTTGAGCCAGTCGCCGTCAGTTTGCACCGACCCGACCTTGATGTACCACAAGCCAGCGTCGTTGAGCATCTTGCGCATATGACGCACCTTTTCCAGCACAAACCACTGGTTATACTCGCCGCCCAGAAGCTCTTCGTTGCCCACAAGAATCGCCTTGACCGAGTTCGGGTGGCGTCGGGCGCCGTCCAGCGCGGCCTGCATGTCCTTGAACCACTGATCGTTCTTGAGCCACACGCCGGCGTAGATGACCAAGCCCGTCTCAGCCGCTACGTCGATGTGGTTACGCAGCCCTTGGGTTTGATACGTCCGAACCCCCGAGAATCGCTCTTTGATGCGCTTGAAGTGATACTCAATGTTGCCTGCCGTGTACGAATTGTACGAGTCGTAGCATACAGACACATCGCCCGCAGCGCCCACGGAAATGCTCGTCGTGGTAGGCGCTTGGAAGGACGAGACCAGCGCCACCACCACACCTACGACAACCAAGGCGGCGGCGGCGGTGACGGCCAGCAGAATCTTTCGCTTGGAGGTAGACGAAGTTGTGGTGGTGTTGGCGATTTCGACATTGTCCGTTGCCATCGAGTAGTCGACGTCTGGGGAGGACATGGACGGCGTAGCTGGGCACACGACGTCGCTGGTGTCAGTGGACAACGCAGCAGCAGCAGTCATGAGGACGGAGATTGGCAAATTCAAAACTAAACAGCATTCGAGTACGAGTTGGTGGCCGATGCACCGCACGATTGTACAGACTTTGCATTGTGTGCACTGTGCCGTGACATGAGATATTTATTTATATCTATGTACTACTATTCTACTCTAGTTCGTACAGGATAAATGAAAACGGTGTGATGGATGAAATGGATCGTCACTTAAAATAAGCAAATTCCTCAACCACCAAGCCGTTGATTGGTTGTAACGAGTGGATGTCATACCACTATCAACCTGTGACGATGTGCGCGAACGATCGTTGCATGGGTCGAAGGTTTACAGTACACTGTACACTGGACCTGTGATGAAGTGAGAATGTTTGGAATCAAATCAGGTACATGCTGTATGGATAGGGCAATTCCCATTGATATACTACTTCCAAGTACAAACCAGTAAGTACTTACTGTTAACCCCGATTGTAAACTGTTGTGCCAACATGTTCCAGGTCAATCCGGTAGACATGCCGTTCAATCGCGTCAGGTTATGTATACTAGATACTTGTATTGAAGTAGCTCATACCAAATCACGGGGTAATCGCCAATATGTGGGTTATCAGCAAACCTTCGCCAAAATATGAGCGCACTTAACAAAGATAATCGCACTTAACAAATATTACATTGAAATCCAATCTGTGGACAAAACCACAAATTGTTGGAGCAAGATTGATTGGCACAGAATCTCTCAGTTATGCAGACAGTATTCACTTTCAATTCATCAGCGCCACCATGAGTCTTGCTCTTGGAATGGAATTTCACTCAGGCTAAGCCTTCGTGGACTACGTTTAAGACTACGCTCTACGCGAGAGCAAGCATGTTCGAGTGAAGTCTCGTGGCGGTAATAAAAGACCGTGGTGTGCACAGCACCGCTCTATCCATTTTTGGTCACGGCCTACAAGCGCACGTCCAGCACCACCCCAACGCAGCCATTTGTCCTATCATTACTGTGTACTACGTTACGTTAGTATGCTGTACTGTATTACATGTTTGATTTATACTACGTAGTACTACATAGTATTTGTTAAGTGCGACAATCTTTCTTAAGTACGCTCACATTTTGGCGAAGGTTTGCTGGTATACACACATACTAGTACCTGGTATTGGCGATTGCCCCCAAATCACGCCCAGATCAAAGGTGATATACAGTCAATGGAGAAAACACAAGTTTTGCGTTTTGTGATATACTACGTAGTACTGTACTTATACAGTATTAATACACTGTATATGTTGGGAACCTGGTCCAACCATTCTGGGAGATTTTGTGGGTTAGTACCATTTCAGCACAGAAATGAGATCAACAGCTGCACTGTTGCTTACGTAATCATTTCACTTGTTCTTATTATGTCATAGTAGTACTTCGAAGTAAGGCATTGTTTGGCAATTCTAACGTTAGGGTTAAGTATGTGGAGATCTTTGACTTACTGTAAGTATAGAGTCCTTAGGCCAAACTACCGGTAGTATGTGGCTTGTCGTTGTTTAACATTGGGCTTGCCAAAATTAACTTTCAGAGATGGATCGACTCACGCGGTAAAACAAGGGGCAATCAAGGTGAAGAATACTTCGAAGTACAATCCTGTAACCAATGCGATTTCCAAGCGTACCAATCCTACTCGATTCATATTATTCACAACGTTTCTATCTGTGCTTAACTGGAGACTTTAGTGCAGTACAGTACTACTACGTATTAGTTAGTATACAGTATCGTACACTATACTCTATTCCATTGATGGACAAGGGAGGTTGTCAATGAAGTCCGCTGTAGTATTAATACAATGTACTAAGGCTGAAGCCAGACAACTGTACATTAGTATTGTGCTGTACTAGTACTCTTAATAGTACTAGTATAGCCAGGCAACTGTACATTAGTATTGTGCTGTAGTAGTATTGTGCTGTACTAGTACTATTAATAGTACTAGTACAGCACTAATGTACAGTTGTCTGGCTTCAGCCTTATCTAGTGTCTCTGAATCGATCTGAGCCTGTCCTACGTCATATGATAACTCGGTACTGTACAGTGGTTGGTCCCTCAACGTTTGCTCCCTGGTATAAATTAATACCCCATAAAAATTTATTTGATATCAAGTTTCTAGGGGCCTTTTGACACGTCAACTTCGTGTGAAAATTTAAACTTGAGGTGGCAAAGACTTCACGTTCACAACCACACACAGTAAGGTGATTCATGTAATTCCCGGCCAGCTTGACCTACTTTCTGAGTCCCGTTACTCATCACCCACTCATGCAATGCGGCTTCGGAAAGCTGCAGTTCCCATCATTCAATCGTTTGTCCAATTTGCTTGACGAATTTCTAAAAATCGAAATTTGCCTATGTGAATGTAATTCGCGGCCAGTGATTCACTTGAATAATGTATGGTCAATTTGCAGCTCTTGAAATGGGTGAATTTCTGAGAACCCCTTAATAGTAATATATATTCAAGTGTACAAGTAATTAAATTAAGTAGTTCCGCGTTTAAATCCTTGCTACCCAACGTTAATCACAAAAAGACATGACTGTATAAGGCAATTATGTAACAAAACGTGACCACCCAAACTTCGCATTTAGGAAAGCAGAAGGCATCACGTTTTAATAAAAACAGCAGTACATTAGCAGAATAAAGTCGGACAGGATATACAGAAAGCAAGTGATCGTCAGACCACGCGTCCGACATTCTTGTTCATTGGGATGTATATCCTATACAAACGCAGAGACAAATTGTGTTGTGAGATATTAACGCAAGAAAGTCGGACAAATGGTCCTGTATCAAATGATTGGTACAAATTGTTTCGACCATGGCAGATAGGACACATCATGTACCGTCACCCGCCATGCGGCAGCAATCGACAACAGTTCAGGACCTCCGAGACAATCGACTCGCCGACAGCTCCAAGAAGGGATACCGCAGCGGAATGAAGCAAATCGTCAAGTGGCTTCAAACGTCCGGCCGCTCGGCCAGGCTAAATGCAGATGGCTCCCTCAATCTCACCGTTTTCAGCTACATGGACTTTACTGAGTTCGTGCTGTACAAGTACAAGGATGCTGGTGTATCCCTCTCAACGCTTTCTGGCTACAGGTCAGCACTGAAAGACTACTACAACACGCAAGGCGTTCCTCTGCCAATCGGGTTTACCAACGATGCTACTGTCATCTATCAAGGTATGGAATGTCTCTCGTGTTGTACACTGATTGCTATTGCTAGGAATCCGTCGGCTATGTGCGAGCGAGACCCAAGCGGGTGCTATCAAGCCAGGCACAAAGCAGCCTCTTCGGCACCATCAATACATTGAGCTGTGCATGGCGAGCCTCGTCAAGTTGGATGGTGGTTTCACGCACCTTTTTCTCATACTGTCTTGGAACTTGATGTGCCGGTCGAGGTCGACGGCAACGGTTCGGATCGACCACTTTTCCGACGAAGGGGATGCGCTTGGAGTCACGTTCTTCAAGTCCAAGACGGACCAAGGTGGCACAAAACGTCGTGACCCAAAGCACGTTTATGCCAACCCTCAGCAGCCGGGGACATGCTGCATCCTCGCGTTGGCAATCTACCTTGCGTGCAACCCTGAGCACGACTCGGGCGATCTGTTTCCCGGCTCTGCTCAACGTGACCGTTTTGGCCGGAGCTTGTCCCAACTTGTGGGTTATGCACTCCCCGAATTAGCAAGCGCTGTCGGCACCCACTCACTTCGCAAGGGCGCCGCAATATTTGCAATTGGTGGTAGTACATCAGGTCCCTCGATCGTCAACGTGTGTATTCGGTGCGGGTGGTCCATTGGCAGCGTCGTCGAACGCTACGTTCACTATGATGGCGCCGGTGACCAGTACGTTGGCCGTGTCGTTGCTGGTCTACCCATCGACAGCGGCGACTTTGCTGCTTTGCCGCCACATTTTGTCTCTAGCAGCGAAGGAGTTGTTGACGCTGCAGGGGCGCTTGTGTTCCCGCGTCTCTGGTCCCATGAGTCCCTCCGTGGCGTATTGGTATTGTGTCTAGCTTCGTTGGTGCATCACAAGGTTTTTCTGGAGGATACGCTCCCG